AAGTTAAACATTTGAGAACTGAAGAAACAGAACTAATTCTACTTTTCATTGTACAAATTCAAAGAGAATAGTCGCAGACCTGCCGTATTTAAATACCTATTCAGCTGCCGCAAAACTTGCATGAATTAATCCCAACTTTCATACTGTACGACCGTGAATATCAACATCAGTCCATTTTCTCGTAAAAGATAACGAGTTATACAAGCAATATGCAGGTGTCATAAAATCTGACTCAGTCCCACCGAGTTTTAAGGCCAACATACAGTCAAAATGGTGAAAATGATATGCAGTATGAATGGGCAAGTAGCCAAAGCGATTAAAACAGTTATTAAAATTGTATTTTAGACGGGATAAAAGAATAAACACATCACTTTTACTATACCGCGGAGTAATGTGACTGATTATAATCACTATCTTCATTTCGCTTAATAATTCCTGTTATATCTAACGATCGGTTTTTACCCATCTTTTGCTACTTTCTATCTGACACATGATGGTCAGGATTTTAAATGATTGTATATCAATCGACAAATAGAGTATATCTAACTAATTAAGCCTTATCTATCCTAAACACTGTAAAAGCGTTACGAAGAAGCTATAATATTTTTGCAACCAACGAGAATATCTCACCACAGTTAAAAACGATATACAGCTAACCTTGAATTGAATACTTTAGTACGGAACAAGGCATAAATACGAGTCGAATCTATTCGACTGATACCTCTAAGGCTGAGTAATATGACATCGTCGAAAAGGAAAGCTGTATCTGTTGCGTTACAAACGTATTTGAACAAGTGTAACCAAGAGAATTCCAGTTGGGAAATGATATTTTGTGAACACTTCGAATTTTCACATGCATTCGGTGCTGAGCCACATTTTCCGACAGTTTTCTACAGCTTTTCTAGATTTTTAGTCTATTATCCTCAGCCCTACAACTTCATTTTTGCAACTACTCTTGCTTCTACTTACATATGCAACACCTAGATTATCCTATAGCAATTGAAAAGAGTGTACGACATGATATAGCCCAGGATACCCTAAAATTAATAACACCCACATATAAGTGATTCTATGAGCTAAATGCATGAGCTATATATGATTTTGAATCAGGCCATTAATCTGATCTCAATACTAAGGATACCTCCATGGAAGAAACCGATACACACACTTACTCCGTGGTGTAAATCTGATGGCGAATAAAACAGCATACATATGCTTGGAGAAACTTAATGTGATGACTGGCCAAGTTATTACACAACACAAGTTAACAGATGACTTTGCACTGGAACACTTCAGGTAGCGTAACAGAGGTGACTGATACTTCATCGCAGAGGACTTTGACGCATCTAGAGTAAAGTGGATAGAAACACCTTCTGAGACCCACAAATACAGTTGAGTAACTCATTTCTAACTGTACTGCGGAATGCTTTCGTTTAGGATACTTAAACGGATATATGCGGCAGTTTTGATCGTGGGTTTTCGTTGTTAAATCGTATGCTTATCTAATAAGACTGACTATATGTGATCGAGATAAACTCTTCTCACTAACATGTAGTAATTACGCAGTGCTACTGTGCACGTTTACAACTTTCGGCATGGTGAATGAATACGTTTAATCTTATCCGAATGCACGTGGTAAAAGCTATGGTGGTCAATAAAGACTTAACAGTCAATGCCAGTTTTTTCTCTGATAGAAAAACGAGTAGTTTGGTGGTGTCTTGTTTGCTGAGATAGATGTTTTAATCATGGAGCTTTCGTTGCTAGCACAAACTTCCAAGAGAGTAACGAGAATTTATCCACATGATCACCATGGCCATGATAGATTGTTCGAGTTAAAGTCTTTCTATTGTTTGCACACATATCTTGATTGACTGCTTCGCTGGCATTCCAATCTTTATTGGTTGTTAGATGGGGTCAGTGGTAGTGTGCTTATCGACCATTATCTGACCCGAGTACAAAACTTTAATAAGTTCCATGATATTTTTTCATTTGCTCTATTCAATATTTCCACATTTCCCCGGAGAGATTCTTATCATCAGTAGCCTGCAAGATTAAGAATGCACAAATGTAACAATCATGACTTCATGAAATTTACCCAGACAGTAATTCTTTGTTGTAGATGAAAAGATCGCTAAAAAATTCTCACCTAAATGAAAAGACAGTAGAACTCGCTCATTACTGTGTGAACCTATCAGTTTCAAATTATACAACGGGGCAAAGATGTTGCAACATGCTAAGTGTAAAGGCTGAAGTAGCAAAGTAGTCAGTTAGACATCCCCAGGTCTTCCTGAGTGAATTACTTTACGATAAGATTGACTGTACTCTTACATTCCTGTTCATTAAGTGGTGAAATATAATGAATGTAAGCTCAATTCTAAACCAGGGAAACATCCTTACCGTATTTCAGTCGAGTACCTTCTAAGCAATCTCATAAAAAAGATGGTGTTTTTGCAAGAAATTCTTGGAAATGGAAACAGTATTCAGAGAAAATCAAGCCATCTAATGACTACCCTACAATCATATTCCTTAGCAAGCTACACTCATGAATACAAGAGGCGTTACCACACATGAAAGAATATTTATCCTTGCTGTACACTAGTTCACTAAACCGAATGGACCTCTTAAGAAATTAGAATGACGCCTCCATCCCTTTAGCCTACAAAACTAAGCAAAAGGATTGCGTAGCATAGAAAAACTAGATGCAGTGAGGAAAAGTCAAGGTCTGTTGAGATTCACTTGCTCTTAGGTCCTAAAGATGGTCATTAAAAAGCAAATACTATAAAGACTAGTGATTGTGGTTTTCCTCATTACTCACTGAATGAAACACTTCTACTGAAGGCTGGTAAACAAATTTGAGTGTCAATGCAATCCGAACCTTTGAAATTGTGCAAAAGATTAGGCATCAACGGTCACATGCTATAAGAACTAGGGGTAAGGTTTTACGAATACTTGGATATATTCAGAATTTTGTATCTGGCATTTGACTCCATCTTCATGAGATACATGTGGAGAACCCATGTATCAGATGGCGATGGTTCGCCTGCGAAGAACTGAAATGCTTAAAACACATTGGTTTTTTCCACAAAAACAGCTGAGTAGTCTTCACCTACTGCTCCTGTTTTACTGCAGTATTATTTTAAAGCAATTTTTCATATTTCAGTGATTCGAACGGTAATCTATCCTACCTAACTTCTTTACTCTAGGACTGTTCATTTGAGAGGGCATTGTTTACGAACCTTCTAACCCTGGTTATTGTCTTTAGGTTCATAAGTTTATTTCCCATATCAAATTACGAACCAAAGAAGCTACCGACCACATTGCATGATACAGACACTCCGCGCACTTAGTGCGAAACCGAATCTATAATTATACTGATTATCAACGTTAGCACAAGTACCTAAACTATCCTGTTTACCCATTTTAAGATACTTCCCACGAGTCCATACTTCTTTTATTGGATGTTCCGTGCATTCATTTTAAAAATCTTCGTTTATTTCAAGTATGTACTTGAGCAATGTCGACTCGGACCAGTGCGGCACTTTGGGCAGTACGTTTATTGAAACTCTGTCTTACAAAAATCTACTACAACTATTGTAGCTTTCTGAGTATCAAAAATGAGTTAGGTATGAATGGTAAACATTACAAAAATACCTTGTGGCTGAAGGCAGAAAATTAACGTCTTGTGAAGGGTTTGTAGTTTTGAATGGTTTACCCCGTTCCCTTTTGTTCATTCTATCTTGCTATCTATACGGCGACAGAACACAATAAGAAACTATGAAGATAAAGGGATGAGAGGTGGAAAATAAGCATGACTAGAAGAGACAGTCATAAGATACATTGGTGAAAACATAACCTTTAGTACTGTTTTCTAAATATGAATGCCATAAGAAAATTACAGTAAGGTCTTGAGACATGGAGTTACAATCCACATGATATAGTAAAAATTACTAGCAACGGACCAAACCAAATTAAAGTATAAGAAAAGGAAAAAGAACAAAAGCTGACATACAGTTTAAAGTGAAGGTAAAACATAATTGCGTTCTAATCGACTGATAGTCAAACAATCCTTCGGACTAGTAATCGCTGAAACTGATACTTCTGACACTCGGTTAGTTCATTTTAAAGATTAAATGGATGATTAACAGTAGAAGCAGTCCAAGTGAGACTGATTTCCGTACAGCTGAGCATATCGCTTACCGAATATCGTACAGTAGTGACGATCACCATATGAAACGTCTGCCTTACGCACTCTACCTTAAAACAACTCAAATCCACCTACTTCGACCTCGACAACCGGATATTTTAATCAGTTCTCCTACAATTAGAGTGACTCATAGTCAAATACTCAAATTTGAACCGGGTTGGATTGTTTTATTATTAACACTGCATGAAAAGGGAAATTGATATCACCAAGTTCTTCCATACTACGGTATGGAGGTGGAACATCAATCGGTTACGTAAACAATGAATGAAACCTCCGTGGATCGAACCAAGACCTCACTACTTTGCTTTCTACAGTGGCTGTACAGTGTAGTAAAACTAAACAGACGATACATTTACTGCGAACGATTATAGCTGTCAAAACTACCGCGTTAAATTTATTCCACGTCAGCGATCAAATGACTCACTGCGTACCATTATATTATAACTGCAAGCACGGTTTCAGAATGATGTAGCAGACCTCACAACACACGACGAATGAAAAGTAATTACGTTTTGAGAAACCAACAGATGCCAGGTGACTAAATCACCGTTCAAAATCTTACACTTAGTACTGCAAAATAAATTGTTTATGGCAGTTGTAGTCACAAGGCATCAAACACTAGGAATACCGACCTGGACGACACTTAGCGTTACTTTCTGTTCACGACTCATTACGAAAGGAATCTACAACACTACCCCAGCAATGAACGAAAGCAGCTACTTAAAACAGCGAACAAATGACAGCAGGATACTAACAAACCCAATGCCAGAAAACTCTACTGGAAATCAAAAAGGAATACTTCACCTTATTTTTTATTAGTACCAAAGACTACCATGTTTCCGTCGGGTCAGCATCAAGATTACTCCAACCACCGGCTGCTCCACCGACGGAACCATAACCAGCAGCAGGAATACCCATATCTCCAAGTGATCCAACAGGCATAGTTGCTTCAACTCCCCACGTTTCTGCAGCTTCGACATCAGCCCCTGAAAAAGCAGATATAAATTGAACACATGCTGATTCTAGTGATACTGAACATAGAAAACCGCATAACGCATGTTTACCAAACAATACGTACACACCGATCTTGAATGTCTGGAGAGCCTTGTTGTTCATTGTTACTTATTGGTTGGCTGTCGTATCATATGCTAGCACTTAGAAGCTAGTGAAATAACTCACGTATGAACGTCGGTTGGTCTTGACTCTTCGGATCGCTTCAAAGAAACTAAAACCACGAAGTAACTCAACCATGAGCATGTTTATGTGCCAAGCCAGAGTAAACTACATGCGTAGATGAATTATCGGCAAGTAAAACACTGGCACACAACCACCCATGAAATTATTTTCCATTTTTCTAAATGTGAATATTCCAGTACCTTTCACAGCAAACCTGATCGATCGAATCTAGCAGACAATTGCATAAAAGATCCAGTTATCAAATCAACACCAAGTGGGTGCAAGAATGACTCAGCACGTCGATGTGTAGAATTCTACTACTAACGCAGAAGGAACTAGTGGGGAGAATAGAATAAGATTTATTGCAAATCTTAAAATAAGACTGAAAGGTAGTCTCTTGCCGATCATATGAGTAAACTCGGGCTGTCAATCCATTTTAGTCTGTGTCACACAGTGGAAGTTATTTATTGGTTGTTTCAGATTTAACATATGACAACATAGGAATATGGACGATAAATTAAGTTCGAAAGCCCATCTAGTACATAATAATTTCACTAGGATACATCTAATGACTAGAATGGAACCTCTCGACGAGTATCCTGTGGCTATATTCCGATAAAAAACTAATGAAACTATTCCTTCGCTCAATTTTATTATTTTCAGACAAAAACGACTTCAGAGGTATAATCATTGGATTACGTTCAAGACGATTTACTGTTCGTTGTTATACTACGGTAACTCAGCAACATTCAGAAATTAATATAATCTAAAAAATGTAGAGGGTCGCCGTGTTAAGACAATGGGCAATAAGTTATCTGAAACGCAGTCCAAACTGACACATCAATGTGATACACCCAGTAGGTCAGGCGAGATAGGATTACATTGTACAGGTGGCCGTTTGAACATCTATGACAAAAAACCTACAGGAATCTTTATCCCACCGTCAATCTATCAATACAGTACCTGTCTCTGCTAACCTCTGGTGAATCTTAAGCCTTCTTCGTAGAAGTAGGGAAAAGTCAAAGATTCGTAACATAAGCCGCAAAACTCAATAAATTGGACAACTCCCTGGAGTTACGCATAACAACCATAGTTCATATTTTATTCATAGGTGCCATTTTAAAGGGTTTAACTGGATCTCTATGTAAACAACACATTTTAGGAAGACTCAATCACATGAACTAACTTGCCAACAAAAAACAATGCACAAACTTTTTTTCACCGAAAAAACCATTAAATTCATTGGAACCAAATGAGCAATTCACTAGAGCACCACGTCATCGAAATCGCTCACAACAGCAGGTAAGATGAGGTACCACTATGCCACGCCTCAATTCGTTATCGACAGTCTTTCACCACTTTGCGAGTCTGAATCGCTTCGTTTTAGTTTATTATCGCAACCACTGAGTAATGAATCACAAGAATCTGGATATCTGACCAATTACTCACTTGTCGACTATCTTGCCAAAGGAATGCACCCTGAACCTAACATCTCGAAAGTGAACAATACCTTCAGGGATCGACTTAGAACCCTACAATCACAAGTCATCGAACTGAAGACTTCTCACACAGCTTCAGATAGTCAACCTAACAACGAGGTTTACCAGCAGAACTCTATAAAAACATATCACTGCGTCCTTTTAAGTCTGCGGACGACTGAAGCAACAGATGCTGCAAACTTTTGTATTACTGGACCTCTGTATCTCACTTGAGCATGTAGTTCGGTTGAGTTTACTTACAAAAAGACTAACCTGGAATAGCTGGCTCCAACCTAGCATCGTCCGTTTCCTCAACATTCTGTTCCTCTTCGTTTGGATCACGGTAAAGGAATAGATCAGGCAAGACGTTCCATTGTTGCAACCTTATATCTTCACCCCGTATGCGACGAACTTCACGGGCGAGAAGCCACCAGACTACAGCGATTGAATGGGTAGACTAAAGGAAATTTGAAGATTTAAATTAGTATACTTTGGTATTGCAAGGAATGACAATGTCAACGCGAGTCAACGGTGTATCGGTATTACAGAAAGCGATAACCGGAACATTCACTGAACTAGCCTCCGTGACCGCTTGATGGTCACTCAGTGGATCACTAATAACCAGCAGGCGAGGTTCCCTGTAGCATGACTAAAGGATATACGTAAGGCATCGAACGAACCTGTTTCTGATTGGTGAAAGCTCCAGGTGTGAAGCGACCGGCCATAGCCGTTGCACGCGTGTAATTAGCGAACTTCAAAACAGCACGTTGGGTGTATGCTCTTGACCCGATTGCACAAACTCCGGCTGGATAATCAACGGCTGCAATAGCTCGCGCACAGAGAAGAATTTTCTCCCATGTTTTGTCCAGTTTTATTATATGAAAACCATCCTTTGTACGACCATGAACATAGTTGGCCATTTGAAAATTTAGGGTCGTTTCACCAACATGCACCTGAGCAGCTAGCATTAGCCGAAGGTCTTCAGCAGAAAGTTCCAAAACGGGATAGCCTCCAGACATCTTTGATACCGGCCCTAACCAGTGAATCACGAGTAAAATCGAAAAAGCGCTCTTCCAACTAAGCAAGCGATTAATACAAACAAGGAATGAAAATACTCAGACCACTCTTTATGTACCATTAGGATTTGAACCTCAGACAGATACTGAATCTATAAGAAGAGATTTGTTTTATTACAATGGCTTCTTGATCACAAAGAAACAAATAGTGGTGTGATTCAGTCTTAAGTAATGTAGGTAGCAGATCAGTCGACCTCTATAAAGAATGAAAATGCTTGGGAAAATAGTGCCAGAGGAATTTCACATGAGAGGGGATAAATGTGTTCGGTCACTAGGTTTTGTAGTGTACCTGAACTGTAAAGGTGGAGAGGGATGCCGTTCCAAATTTACCGAAATTTAGACGCTACGAATCATGAGCATGTATCAGATCTAGAAGACGGTACTTTGACCCCCTGATGAAGTTTTCGTGATGTTTTGGATGACGTTACCGAGAAGAAGATGAGGTAGAAGATGGAGAAGGATAAAGCACAAAAAGTTAGGACTTCGTTTTATTAGCTGCTTCTAGGATAATTCGAGTCTCAGCGTCGCACTTTAAGCATTCTGAAGCTTGTAGCGTATAGGTGACTCGCGCTCCCCTTATCCTGAGCTTATTCAGCATGTACATTCTTCCCACAGTGAAATGGTAGGATTCTAAGAGAATTCAGATGCGTACGTCTGGGAAGACAATCCACAACCTGTGTTCTGAAAAGTACAAAGCGTACAAACGAAAGGACCGCAATGCAGTTTCTTCGGAAAGCACTGTGACAGTCATTTGTCTGATCATCTTGTACGTTTTTGAATAGTAAAACGATGTCACTGACATACTCGAAGTTGAGTCTTGCAGGTGTTACCTGGTGGACACCAGCGCCGAACGTTTCTCCCGAGGCTGCCCGAAAATGTCACCAGTAGCGTCGTTAGAGAGAAATTATGAAATCCAGAGGTCCTGTTTAGTCCCACCACCGGTTTGGAAGGGCGGGCATAGGTGGCTATGGAACTTCACCGAACCACTGGTGATGAAGTATACGGCTCTCGAAATGCCAAACTCATCTCCATTACAAAGTGTGGGGGTAAATCAGTACCCTAAGGTTTAGAGAAATTCGGCATCTGCGCTGACCTTCATAGTTTTGACAGACTTGTTCGGCCGAAGCCACACACCCAAGCATCTACACCAATTAACACCAAGTTGCTTCATATTGTGTTGCCGGAACCCAATCCCCCATTTGGCTAGTTGAAACACATCGGCATTGACGCGATCGACCCTTTATACTATTCGATGTGACCACCCCACCTTCCTCTTCCCTGGCCTAGCATTACAGGTAGGAGAAACCTGTGACTGGCTCCTGTACCGCCAGTTTTGCACAGGATCATAAAAACATTCCGGACAAGATATCTGTTTGAAGAACCTGATTATCTTTCGGTGGGGTGTTCGAGAACCAAGTGTAAAGCGAAGACCGGATCAGTAAATCCACGTCTTGATCAAAACTCGATAGAAAACATACGATCTGGCTACCTGCTCCATCTACTTTTCCATCACCAAGAGGAAAAAAGTCAGTTTTCGTGTAAAAAATATTTTCCGAGATTCATCACAAGCGTCAGTCAAGGATACTTAGCGTCACAGAGTGTACACTCTGTAGTGGGACAGTTTCAAGGAAAAAAATACTTTGTTGCAGTGAGTATGCATTTGGTTGGGTCAGAAAAAAGCATGCAGACAGCAGAAAGTAAAAACCGTACGTGTGATTAAAGAGCTGAACACAGTTAGCGTTAGAGATCTGGTACAGGTGAGCTGTATATTAAGGTACACGTAGGTAACTAATTTGTTGTCTCAAACAATAGTATGTTCAGTTTCCACCCCCAAGTTTGCATGAAGGAAACTGTTCTTCTGCGGAAAAACGGAAGTTTACAGTCCCTGGGTGACTCTGAAGTACTGTTGAACGTCCCGAAAGGAACGTAGCCGTTTACCTTCGGTCTTTAGTGTATAGACGGAATGGCATTTCCGTGGAAACGGTTTTTGTAACACCGTTAAGGTACTTACGCAGACTTCTGACCAATTCTAGCGCTTCTCATGGCAAAACCAAGTACGATATGGGTTTCAATCCGTGTGACTTCATAACATTAAACAACTGAACTGTGAGATTGGAGTAAATTAGCCTTCAAGCGGCTTCCCATCCTGTTGACATGATTTTTATGAACATATTAAGGCGAGATTCAGGAACTCGGGTTTCAGAATTTAAAAGGAAAATGGGTTTAGGAGGTTGAAGAGTGAGTCTTCTTTTCGGCGCCGTCGCTCGTCTCAGCGGAAACTCACAAGCTAGTTTCTTCTTCGCCTCATTCTCATTATTTTTCCACACCTGCATTACCGATACCGGAAGACGGTTCTTCCTCGCCCCTGAACACAAATCAGTCAAGTGATAACTTATATTTTTTAGGGACCACCATCATATAAATTGAACCAGATGTAAGGTTACTTCCTTACTTTTGGGAATGCCAGAGGCCGTATATGGAGCCCCACGAGAAACCATAATGCTTGTGTGCCCTTTCTAACTAAGACGAAGTAATGCTCAGGCTGGTATGATCCAGGATTGTACTATATGCCCCAACCTGATGTGCAGTCATTCTACTACCTCCGCTTGACGCTCATTTTATGGGGAAGGATGGCAATATCGTGACCAAAATGACGAATAACCTGCTTGAAAACAACTATTTCCATCAAGTTATTTGATGCCTTCTTATTATATCTGATGGTGGGCTTCCACTCAAGGAAAAGACAGATGAAGTCGACGTAATACCTTGCAAGCAATCACATCGGTTCCATTTGTCCACTTCATAGCAGCATACAAAGAGAGAGCAGATTGGAAAGACCAACATCAAATTGGATGAAAGCGCGCTGGAGTAGCCATATCATCACCCTGTGATTACCGTTTTCTCCAGAACCCCAGCCAGACAGTTCAGAGACCTCACGTGGCCAAGATCAAAGGTCAGAAACTTCATGCACTGGTGCTACGCTTTGGTTTGGCCGTCCTTGACTTTCTTCCAACTTCGCCAAACTTCCTCTACCATCAAACATCGAGGTAAGCGACGGCCAGACCTACCCGAGCGATATTGTGAACTTGTCTGCGCTTAGTGGCCTGTAACCTACTTATATATACTTTTAACGGGTGGGATTTCGATGGCAGCTGGATAGTTCAAGCTGTTGAAGTTGTCCATGCATGTGAACTGGTCGATCCATTCCACCACTTTGACCACTACCCCTAAACTAGGGGCAGCTGCAGACGGATTCTGAGGCATCAAGTAACGCTTGACAAGTGCATTTGGCGTGAACAGCTGCTGCACTCAACTATTGCCAATGGTTAGGCACGCATACTATTCCTCCAACAAATTTTGGTCAACCCCGAGGGATCGGAAGAGGAAATACGCCGAGTCATGTGAGCTGCGTATATTTTTGGGAATCATTGAGAGTGTGCAGCTATTCGAAAGTTCGGTAGCCTTCTAAAGATTCCAAAGTACTCCTGGTACTCGTCACGATATTTGCGATTTCCCGTTGCCAAACGTGGTTGTCCGATGCCTACTGGTGGATGGGCTCCAACACGAATGCCTCAACACCGCTGGATTTTCACGATCTCATGCCGATCTTCAAGACTGGCAGAGGAATCCAGGACGTGCGTTTCGTCCCACTTGGGACTCATCAGCTAGATGCACCTGCACCTAAGTGAGTTGTTCCCAATGAGACTGGAACCCAGTACCCTGCACTTCGAACGCCAAGGTGCTATCCACTGGGCCACTGAGACGTGATAGTCGCCTCTCGTGCAACGGTGATCGGTTATTACTACCAAGCCAATTGCCACGTCAAATATTCAAGGCATCCACGTAGGAGCCCATCTACCAGCAGAGGCTGAGCAATTCGCCTCCGCATAGCAGCGGGAAGTTTCAAACACCATAACAACTACTGGCAAGAGGCAGCCGTCGTGTCCCAGTAGCCTAGCGGATAATTTCTTGGAGTTTGAAGTGATGGATTCTGGGTTTTGGTCCCGTTGGGAACGCCATAGCTCACTAGGGTTCGGTTGCGTCCAGCCGAAGAGTCCCAAACAGGATGAAACGCGCGTTCTGAATTCCTCTGCTAGCCACCAAGATCATTACACCCCCCACAATATTGACCGTTTCTGTATCACCGATCTTACTTCAATCCCCACACCTCCGTGTTCGTCTCGTGATAAATTTGTATCGGTTCCCTGCATGTTCTTGAGACCGCTCTCTCACGTTGTACCATGCCCGTGGATGCTACGTCACCAACATCACCTCTGATAATGATGTAACACTTTTCCGGCTACGGAAGCTATCGTAAAGAATACAGCATGGGTGCATTTCGAGGGACGAGCTAGTACAGCGAGATCCAGTGTCCACAACGGACTCTTTTCGCTGTGAACACAGTGCATGAACATGTATAGGTCATGAAGCCGGCCTGATGGACAGTCCTGTCGCCTATTACGTAAGCTTCCTCGTTGCTGTTTAAGTTTACTTATGTGCTATGTAGGATAGTGAATTCTCATGCCACCACACGCTCTGCAAGCGACATAATTAGGCAGAGGAGGTACACCAATGCATTTGAGGCTTCCTATATGCATCTATGGTTACTGACTATTAGTTCTTCCACGCTTCTATGTCGACAGCTTTGGTTGTACCATTAAAATGTCTTGCACAAACATTTGTGAAGTAGGTCATTTCTCTTGAAATGCCGCCTCAGTTGCCAACGCAAACTCTTAACACAGTTATTCATGTTGTTACCCAAATCAAGCACTTCACGTAATTATGACGATTCCCACATCTCTTGCCTGGTTTACCAGTTGTGTTCTAGGTATGCGCCAATAGTACAATTCACATTTTTAATAAGGCAGACCAAGTCTGGAAGCTTATTAAGGGGAGAAGCGTTACAATTCTACACTATGCCTTGATAATTCGGTTAAGATAGGCTCTCAGGAGGGTATTACGAATCTAGGACTCAATGGTGCTGTATAACACTGCACCTCAACTTACTAAGTGCTCTGCTTGAATGTAACGCGTCCAGAAGAATCTTGGCAGCACTGTGCGTCTTTTGCACGG